GATTAGCAACACGGTATTGGGGGTGGGTGTGATGACATTTTCACCACTGGGTCTTGTTGCCCTTCCCTTCAAACCTCAATACATGCTGCCTTCAGGTTGATTTAAAAAAAGAGTGCGTCAAATTGGCGAAGGACCCAGCCTTGATTCGAACAAGGGACTCCCACAAATGTCCGGCGAGCAAAGCTATTGGGAGTGGGGCGTGATGCATTTTTCACCGCCAGGTCTTATTCCTACTTTCCTCGTTCTTTAATTTATAGCAATCCAGCAGCAAAAAAAGGATGAGAGCAATTAGATCATGACCCGGCCTTGACTCGAACAAGGGACTCCCACCTCCGACGAGTAGCAATACAGCGGTATTGGGGGTGGGTGTGATACAGTTCACCACCGGGTCTTGTTCCACTCCTTTTCAACCGAAATACATGCGGACTCGAAGGCCTTGATTTTTTTTTTTACAAGTGATTGACAGGGAAACTATGACCCAGCCTTGGCTCAAGAAAGGGACTCCCACCTCGAATGCCAAGCAGTGGTTAATGGGCGGTGGGTGTGACGACATTTTTCACCACCAGGTCTTATTCCTTCCATCTCCAGCCTGGACAAATGCTCCTGAAAGCAAGCTAGTTTTATTTTTTGAAATAATAGATGAGGTGAGTGAAACAAAATTAGAATGACCCAGCCTTGATTCGAACAAGGGATTCCCACCTTAACCGACAGGCAACACTTTCATAGGTGGTGGGTGTGAAAACATTCCACCACTGGGTCTTGTTCCCCTCTCTTTCAACCAAAATAAATGCAGGGTTGAAGGCCTTCATTTTAAAATAAAATACACATTGATCGGGGCATATGACCCGGCCTTGGTTTGAACAAGGGACTCCCACCTGCTGAAGCGCCCACCATGTGCAACAAGGAGTGGGTGTGATAACATTTTCACCACCGGGTCTTGTTTCCCTTCTATTGCACCAAATAATATGACCTTGCAGTTGTTGATTTTAAAAAAAAGAAAATGCCGCGGATGTGATGATGCCCAGCCTTGGTTTGAACAAGGGACTCTGATAATAATGGCCTTGGCACAACGATGCAAAATGGGTGTGATAACATTACCACCGGGTCTTGTTTCCCTCCTTTTGCGCCACATAATATGACCTTGCAGTTGTTGATTTTTTCTAAAAGAAAACTGGCGCGCATGATAGAAATATGACCCAGCCTTGATTCGAACAAGGGACTCCCATTTACTACCCGTGTCAAAGTAAGATTACAGGGAGTGGACGTGATCTCATTTCACCACTGGGTCTTATTCATTCCTTCCTTGTTCTTCAATTTCCAGTTTGCCTTTTGACAAAAAGGGATCAAATGAACCGGAAGGGTACCCGGCTTTGGTTCGAACAAGAAACTCTCACTTCTGATGACAGTAGCGGAGCTACAGGGAGTGGGTGTGATAACATTTTCACCACCAGGTCTTATTCCCCTCTTTTTCAACCGAAATACATGCAGGCTTGAAGGTGCCAATGTTGATAAAAAAGATGAGAAGAATTGGATGCTGACCCAGCCTTGGTTCGAACAAGGGACTCCCACCTAAACGGACAGCCAATTCTTGCATAGAGAATGGGTGTGATACATTTTCACCACCGGGTCTTATTCCTACATCTTTCAAACTCAGTACACCAGTGCCGGCTTACAGCCGATCCTGAAACTAATGAGAATGAACGTTCTTTTTTTTCGGTTCCGAAAAAGGAAATCACACGCCAAAATCGATGACGTCGCGAAAAGGAAAGTGAGCCGAGATGGCGATGATTTCCTTTTTCGGAACCGAAAAAAAAGTTCGCCGATTCTCATTAGTTTCAGGATCGGCTGTAAAGCTGCAGATTTGAAAGAGAAAATCAGCAAATAGAATAAAATGATGACCCAGCCTTGTTCGAACAAGGGATCCCCACTGAATACGGCAGGAAAAGCAGACAGGGAGTGGGTATGATACACTTCACCACCAGGTCTTATTCCCCTTTTTTTGCACCAAATAATATGACCTTGCTTGCAGTTGTTGATTTTATAAAAAAGATGCAGCCAATGGGATGATGACCCGGCCTTGGTTTGAACAAGGGATTCCCAATTTCAATGGAACTGATGGTACAAACGGGGGTGGGTATTTATTTTCACCACCAGGTCTTATGTTCATTCCTCTCAACCGAAATAATATGACCTTAGTTGTTGATTTTTTAATAATAAAAAAACACCAACAGGAATTGGTAATGACCCCGGCCTTGGTTCGAACAAGGGATTCCCACATCAAAGAAATGCATGGTATAAATGGGGGTGGGTGTGATGCATTTTTTACCACCGGGTCTTATTCCCCCTTCCTCGTTCTTCAATTTATAGTGGTGCAGTTGCGCCTTTTCACCCCCCAAAAAGAAAAAGTCACGTGGAAGTCGGAAATGACCCAGCCTTGGTTCGAACAAGGGACTCCCATATCAGAGCATCAATGGGATTAACGGGGGTGGGTGTGATACACATCCCTTATTCCCCTTTTTTGCACCAAATATAATATGACCTTGCAGGTGGTGATTTTTATTTTTATTTTTTAATTGATACAGAAACTATGACCCGGCCTTGGTTCGAACAAGAGACTCCCACAACTGTATAGAATGGTATCAAGGGGGGTGGGTGTGATAACAATTTCACCACCGGGTCTTATTCCCCTCCTTTTTCACCGAATAATATGACCTTGCAGTTGTTTATAGCACTGCCCTCCGGGCACACCTGGTTCCTCCGGGTGAGTGCTATATTCTTGTATGCATTTTTCTCTGCATCTGACCTCCGGGAAGTAAATATATAAGTCACAGGGATCAAGGCTAGTTTTCTCAGCCTCTACTACGTCCAAGTTCTCAATTGAATAGCAATTAAACTCTGGGTTTTTGAAAGAAAAAAAGAACATGCCGCTGAATATAAAATGCTCCTTTCGCAGGAACGGTAATCGAGGTTTAAAGGGGCGAATCCGGTTTTCGGTTTGGCAAGGCAGGATTGAATTAAGGGGCCTTCGTTGCGCATTTCATGAAAGGATCTGGTTGAAGTTGAATAACTTTTTTTTAAATAGTTTCCTGTTGCCCTCAGTGCGGGGACAGTTTTTACTGTGACTAGCACTGTAAGTGTTAATTTCTTCCAAGATGTTGGTTGGCCCCACGGCCCTTTATTTAATTGAGCCTGAGATGTATATTGGGAGTACTGCAGTGCTGTTCGGGGGCTGGAAATCTTGTCACATATCCAATTGGGCTAAAACGTTCAGCGGTACAAAACTTTCGAAATTGAAGATTGGATGGGTGTGCGCCCTGGATTACCTTCAATATCGACTGGGAACCGTGTGGAACACAAAGGTTCTTCCATATGGACATGAGCCTACTGTTCCTCACTTGCACCATATCTAAAGCTTGAGTGATGCCTTTGATGAGTCCGTCAAATAGTTTACTTGACATACTGAGTTCACTTGTGCTACCTGGATTCTTCGATTGATGAGCTGGCGCGCAAAAGCAATCTTCATTACTGGGTGTAAATCACGACTCCTAGTGTTTAAATAAAGTGCTGAATCCCCAAACACCTGGACTGGTCAGATGCACACTTTCTTAATCCCTCAGGACTTTTTTTCCCGGGTGATAAGACACCAATAATTTAAGCGGAATTCTGGCCGCAATAAATTATGACAGAGAGCCCACCTCCTTATGAAGGTCATGAAACTCTAGCAACTCTGGTTACAGCCGTTGGCAGTACCGAAGGCACGGTCAGAAAATTTATGTTTTGGGACTTTTTCAAAGAATTACCCATAACTTAGTCAATTGTTTATGGTTTGAAACTTTATTTCTTGCAAATCTTCTGGGCTCATTTATGGTTCTTATCTGAATGGGCACAAAATGCAGTACAGATGGCAGTAATATTGAAAAGGTCATGGGGACACGGAAACAAAACGGCCCGCGCGGAAGTTCCCATGATGGGACAACAGTGTGGAAATATGATTTTAATGAAAAGATGAGCCAATGAAATCGTGTAAATGGGCCTTCTGCAGCCAATCAGAGGCCAGGATCGGCCGATTATCGAAGGCGACAGACTTTTACAGGTTGGAAACCTGGTTACCTACGGAACCAGGAATTTAAAAAAACAAACAGAAGTGAAGGCATAATGACCCGGCCTTGCTTCGAACAAGGGACTCCCACTTTCGATGAAAGCGATGAAACAATTATGGACAGTGGGTGTGATAACATTTTTCACCACCAGGTCTTCTTCCCCCCACTTTAACCTCAATACATGCTGCCTTCAGGTTGATTTAAAAATAAATAAAATGCAACCGATAATGATCCATGACCCCGGCCTTGGTTCGAACAAGGGACTCCTACATCATTACGAAGGGAAGAAACTATGGGCAGTGGGTGTGATGCATTTTTCACCACCGGGTCTTATTCCCCTTCTTTGCACCAAATAATATGACCTTGATGTTGATTTTTTTTTTTTTAAATGCCGCAGAAGGGAATCATGAACTGGCCTTGGTTCGAACAAGGGACTCCCACCTCCATCGTTAACAAAAAGTCAATTCGGGTGGATGTGATTCATTTTCACCACTGGGTCTTATTTCCCCTTGTTTATTCTTCAATTTATATGATTCTGCTCCCACCGTTGAGGAAAAAGGGACCAAACAACTGGAACATGACCCCGCCTTGGTTTGAACAAGGGATTCTCACCTCCGACCAGTAGCAACACACTATTGGGGGTGGGGGTGATACATATTCACCACCGGGTCTTGTTCCCTTTCTTTTGGACCAAATAATATGACCTTGCAGCTGTTGATTTTTTTTAAAAATGACCCGGCCTTGCTTCGAACAAGGGACTCCCGCTTGAGTGGTCAATGTTTCCCATGAGAAACAGGTGTGATAGCATTTTCACCACCGGATTTTATTCCCCTTCTTTACACCAAATAATATGACCTTGCAGTTGTCGATTTTTTTTAAAAATCCATCACCAAATAGGTTAGACCCAGCCTTGATTCGAACAAGGGACCCCCCACAAATGCTTTGCACAGGCAACACACTATTGGGGGTGGGTGTGATACATTTCACCACCGGGTCTTATTCCCCTTCTTTTTAACCTCTATACATGCTGGCTTCAAATTCCTTCTTTTTAAAAACAATTCCGAAGACGACCATGACCCAGCCTTGGTTCGAACAAGGGACTCCCACCTCAACAATCAATCAATCCGCAAGAGGATGTGGGGCGTGATAACATTTCACCACCGGGTCTAAAGAATCCTTAGGCAAGATGACCCGGCCTTGGTTCGAACAAGGGACTCCCGCATCACAAGAAAGACTGGTATTAACGGGGGTGGGTGTGATAACATTTTTCACCGCGGGGTCTTATTTCCCTCTCTTTCAACCTCTATACATGGTGGCTTCAAATTCCTTCTTTTTTTTAAAAAAAAAAAGCCGACTTGAGTTGCTTATGACCCGGCCTTGGTTCGAACAAGTTACTCCCACATCACTACAAGAATGGTTCAATAGGAGTGAGTGTGATTCACTTTCACCACCGGGTCTTATTCCCCTTCTTTCCACCTCAATACATGGTGGCTTCATATTCCTTCTTTTTTAAAAAAAGAAAAAAACGGCGGATGCGATTAGGACCCGGCCTTGGTTCAAACAAGGGACTCCCACTTTCAATGAAAGTGATGAGAGTGGGCGTGGGTGTGATTCATTTTCACCATTGGGTTTTATTTCCCCTTGTTTATTCTTCAATTTATATGATTCTGCTCTACCGTCGAGGAAAAAAGGGATCAAACAAACTGATAGATGACCCAGCCTTGGTTCGAACAAGGGACTCCCATTTACTACTCGTGCCAAAGGAAAATCACAGGGAGTGGGGCGTGATATACTTTCACCACTGGGTCTTATTCCCCTTCTTTTGCACCAAATGATATTACCTTGCAGTTGTTGATTTTTTTAAAAAAAATGCCGTCATGGATCTGATGATGACCCGGCCTTGATTCGAACAAGGGACTCCCACCTGAACCCGAATGCGCCCATAACAGGAGCGGGTTGTGATAACATTTTCACCACCGGGTCTTATTCCCCTTCTCTTGCACCAAAAAATATGACCTTGCCCGGCCTTGGTTCGAACAAGGGACTCTCACCTTCGACAAGTAGCATACACAGTATTGGGGGTGGGTGTGATTCATTTTCACCACTGGGTCTTATTCCTCCTTCCTCAATGTTCAATTTATAGCAGTCCAGCATTGCTTTTTGATAAAAAAGAATCAATCAAACCGGAAATGACCCAGCCTTGGTTCGAACAAGGGATTCCCACATATCCTGGCCACTGAGTATTAGGGGTGGGTGTGATTCATTTTCACCACTGGGTCTTATTCCTCCCTTCTTGTTCTTCATTTTATAGCAGTCCAGTTTGTTTTGACCAAAAAAAAAAAGTCATAATGACCCGGCCTTGGGTCAAACAAGAGACTCCCACTTTCAATTAATTGGAGCAGTTACTGGGAGGGGGTATGGTAACATTTTCACCACCGGGTCTTACTCCCCATCTTTGCACTAAATAACATGAGCTTGCAGTTGTTGACTTTTTTTTTAAAAAATGCCGTCATGATCTGATGATGACCCGGCCTTGACTCGAACAAGGGACTCCCACTTCTACTTGCAGTGAAAGATGGATGGTATTAGGAGTGGGCATGATACATTTTCACCACGGGGTCTTGTTCTTACTTCTTTCAAACCTCAATACACCAGTGCCGTGCTGTTTTTTTTTCTAAAAAAAAGTCGTTGACAGGACAGCTATGACCCAGCCTTGACTCGAACAAGGGACTCCCACCTGTAACCAATAGACGCGTAACAGGAGTGGGCGTGATAACAGGCATATGGGTACCAGTATCGTCAGACGTTTGCGAGGCTATTCATTAGAAAGTGCGCGACTCTTCGTCAGATATTACACACGCTATTCAAAAAACCCCGCGCTGTGGACGGCGGCGTCACCGCGTCGGCACGAAGACGACATTGCTGTTCTCCAACGTGCTCATCGCCTGCACTGTGGACGCGCGCCAGCAACACATACATAAGCGCAAGAAGGACACGACGATGCACAAGCCTCCAGCTGCCGAATCTGCGCCGCGGGGCCGCCGCCTGCCGCACGAGGCGCGCCGTCTTCCGCGCGCGCGGAGATGACTCGCCTCTGCGGAGAAAAACTCGCCTCCGCGGAGAAGACGATATCCTTGAAGCGGATGCGCGGCGCCACACTTGTCCGCGACGTCGCCCATGATCTCTGTGATACGAACGCGAGGGTGCACCGCGCGCGCCGACGATGTGCCGCAGCGCTCGATGAGCGCCTGCCGCAGGTCCGCGATGCTGAACGCGAGGCGGTACGGGTTGTAGAGCTGGCAGTAAATGACCGAGCCGCCTCGTTGGCGTGGAGGGTGCTGTGCGCGGCCGGACGTGTCACAAACGGTTCGTAGACGCGGATGAAGCTTGGGGGTGTCACACCCGTGAGCTGGGGCGCGGCGCAGGATCGGCGGGGAGCGTCAGGATGCGATGCGACGCTATGGGGTCGCGGACGTCTCGTTGAAGGAGGAAGTCGCTGTCAGGGTGGAGGTAGGAACGCAGCGCGCGGAGCCGGATGTCTTGGAACGCAGCTATGGGGCGTTGCACTATCCCAGCCAGGCCAGCTACGTTATGGACGCCGCTATCCTGGGGCGAGATCGGGCTTTGGGACCGACGGATGCGAGAATATGGAGGCGCGCGGAGCCGTTCACACACATGAGCCGGTTAGCTGTAGTTGAACGTTGAACCGGGAGACGAGGGCGAGCGGACTCACTGGCCGAGAGTACTGTACTATTTCGACCAACTGTTCACGCCGGGGTGTTACGCGTTACGATATATTGCCCTGCGTGGTCCCATTTCGGAACATGCAGGGTTGTAGCGTTTAGTACATCGGCCTAAATGCCCTACCCGCTACAGTAACACTACAGCCCACTTATCTTCGACGAGCTCACTGTTCACAGGACCTGGTGTTCAAATATTCAAGGCGCCTGTTACGGGATATTCAAGTGTTCATTGGCCAAAGTGTTCATTGCTGAAATGTCCATGATAATTCCCAACTGTTCCCCACAATTATAAGCAGTGTGCCAAGGGCACGGTAAGAAATTCGGTGCCAAGCGCTACGATGGCCTGGAGGCTGGCTTGGGAGGGTCACTAACTACTTCGATAAATGAGCCTGGGCTACTTGTACTTTGCCTTATTCCTTGCGGGGTGTGTTAAAAAATAGATTTGTTTTGGCGCGCGCGAAAATTTGATTTTACGCCGTCTGGCAACTTAAGTTTGGGGGGGTGTTCATTAGGTCGATGTTACGGTTACGGGACCCAAAAGGGTTCAGTTCACTAAATGCCGTTACGCGTTATTTGAACAGTTGGTTGAAAATAGTACAGTACGAGCAGACAGCGGTGACACGGTCACGGTCACACACAGTAAGGAGGATATACAAGATGGCACACTGATGGGAGCCACACATAAGTTTGATGCGAGGCACATTTACAGTAATGTGCCTCACTTGCTTATTAAATCCAGAGAAATTTACATCCGCCTTTCCTTCATTTGCGGAAGGGGACCAGCCATTCAATGCCCCTCCCCTCCCTCGCTGCGCTCGGGGGGTCCCCCGAGCCGGGGCATTTCAGGCTGGCACACTAAAGCCTCGTTCCGCGGAAATATCTGTCCCTTTCGGGACAGATATTTTACCTAACCTCTAACCTCCTAACCTGAACCCAAACCTCTAACCCGAACCTCTAACCCGAACCCTAACCAGTGGATACCCGCAGTTAGGGCGCGCTACGCTTGCCCTAACTGCTTGAAAGTGGTATTTCAAAGTTAATACAGAGCTATTCAACTTAAACTGAGGCGTGGGAATGTGCCTCATCTGACATAAATTGCCATCATGTGCGCCTTCTCAGCCGAATGTGCCTCGCATCAAATTTATGTGTGTGTGCCATCTCGTTGGTCCTCCACAGTAAGCGTCAAACAGACAAAGTGACAAACACACGGCACTTATTTTGCACGCTGTGGCCTGGTGACTTCATTGTGCAACCTTTTCGGCTGTGTGGTGACTCCCGGCCCTGAATAAGTACGAAAATTAAATCATTCTCAGGTCTCCCCGGAACACCGCGCAAGTTGAATTTCCATTCCGAGTTTCCTAATTTTCTTGCTAATTTTTTGCACGGCCTGTTTGCAGTCGAAACCTCCCAATTGTTCCCGGAACACCCTGTATTAGTGAACATCTGCGTACATGGGGACTCAACTCGGAACCAGCATCATTTTTGTCGTGGCCTTCCAGGTGTCCCGGGACTTTATTATTACATGAACCGTCTTCCTTCTCCCTGCGAAGTTGATATCTACAATAGGGATAACGGAGAAGAGGAATGTAAATGATGCAGACGATAAATTAAACACATAATTAGGGAACTCTGTAGGAAGCATTAGACTCGATCCAGTAGTTATTTGACCAAATCGAGAGTGTTCTATTGTAGGTGCAATGTGTATAACTGCACCCTCAACTGCACCCGCCTTGATATGACAGAGAACTTATCCGTGTGAGTGTGAGGTCAAAGGATTATATATAAGCAGAGACCACGACTGGTCCCATCACATTTGAACATACCCCCAATGCAACCTTCAACAAAGCTCAAGAACCTCGTTGAATATACCACTCTTGCAGCCACTACTGTACAAGAAATCGCACAGACTGCCAGTGTTCCTTTCCTGGGATCTACTTCGGCATTAACTTTGTCAATTGTGAAATGTGTTGAGGTAAATCTCCTGGAGCATATCTATAGTAGGTGAAAAAAAACTTTAACAGACAGTTCATTCAAACAAGGATGAATGTTGTGAAATGATTGCGCAAATACACGAAATTCTCTGCACCATTTTGAAACTCTATTCTGTGTCTGAAACCCAATGGGCCCTTCCGACGGCATTGTTATATGACATAGCAAAGTTCACGGAGTAAGCAGAACTTTACATATCTCATTGAAACACCTGTACTGAAACATTATCATAGAACACTTGAAAAATTGCTCACCTTTCTGAACAGCCAGGGAAAGATGGGAAAGATCAAGCAGCTGTTCAGGCAGCTGGACAATGCCGCAAGATTGAGGGAATACAACAATGAACTCAGTTATGCCCTGGAAACATTCACGGTACATCAATTTAACTTGTTGTGTACCTCTAATTTATTTCAGGTTCGAGCCACGGGTTCAACATTGTCCCACATAATGCAAATGAGGAAGGATTCAAAGCAGCAGCATGAAGAGCTTGTTGCCCTCCTGAAAGCTCATCCTGAACTAACCAATTCAGATGGTTCAACTGTGAGGACACTTTTTATCTTCCCCTTTGTCCTGCTGAGGCTTCTTAGGTTTCAGAGACTTTGTCAAGCCTTGGGAGAAGGTGGGCAGAATTCTGTTGTACTATGAGTTGCGCTGAACATTGCATGCAGCTCTGGATCCTTGTCTCTACTACCCCCTTCTCCTCATATTTTCCATGGCCGTGAATTTGAGGTTCAGAAGGTTGTGGACATTCTTATCCGGGACTCCGCTCGCATTGCAATCCTAGGTCCTGGTGGCATGGGAAAGACCAGTCTTGCCACAGTGGCTCTGCATGCTGATGCAGTGGTGGAAAAATATTCATACCGCTACTTTGTTCAATGCCACTCCACCCCAACATGTGTTGAGCTGGCATCAGCTGTTGCGGACCACATCGGAGTTGCAAAGGGATCCAATCTGCTGAAGAAAGTTGCCCAACACTTCATACATGCTCCTCCATCTCTTCTGGTTTTGGATAACCTGGAGACATCTTGGGAATCGGTCTCATCAAGGAAGGAAGTTGAGGAATTCCTTTCTCTCCTGACAGATGTTCCTCAGTTGGGGCTGATGGTGTGTGACACTTACATCAAGGAATTTCATGACTCAAATAGCTTACAGATTACCATGCGTGGTTCTGAACGTCCAGCAAAGGTCAAATGGACTCACCCATTTTTGGCACCTCTCCAGCCAATTTCTGGCTCTGCAGCACTAGAGGTATTCATTGAGGTTGCAGACAGCATACATGAAGATGAAAAAGTCAAACAACTACTTGAACTCACAGGGCATATGCCCTTAGCACTCAGCCTCATGGCAAGTGCGGCCGCCCATGAAGGCTGTGACAAGGCATTGTCTCGATGGAAGACTGAAAGCACACGCATGCTTTCAGATGGATATGACAAAAAATCCAGTTTGGACATATCAATAATGTTGTCGTTCACAAGTTCCCGCATGACACCAGGAGCTCAGGACCTGCTCAGCATTCTTTCAATGCTTCCTGATGGGTTCTCAGATGCTGACCTACTGCAAGCTGAACTACCTATCTCAGACATTCTTTCAAGCAAGACCATTCTGCTCAGGACTGCCCTGGCATTTGTTAATAAAGAAAAGCAACTCCAAGTCCTTCCTCCTATTCGAGAGCACATCCTTCATGCCCACCCTCCAACAGATGCATTGAAGCTAAGACTTCGGAAGCACTTTCACAATCTTCTTTCTCTCTGGAAACATCACCGGGACCTTAATCCAGCACAAATAGTGCCACAACTTTCGAGGAATGTGGCAACATCAACAGTGTTCTTCAGGATTCCCTCAACACAGAGTGTGCAGATGTTGTTCAGAATTTCCAAAGTATTCTGTTT